GGGAAAAAAGATCAGGCATTGTCCACTGGTAACAGAGTATAAGATGTAAAAAAAAAAGTATTGGTGCTTAATCTGATTTTTGCAGACATAGATTGTAAAATCTCGAGAACAGGTGTATCTAGTGATGTTTTCTATGAACCTATGAGTGATCTATAAATAAACATTTCTGAATATCCCTTTTTTTATGGATGACTTTTGGGAGAGCAGATTCATTGTGTGGAAACCTGACTTTAGCCTATGCCAGAAATACTAGTGAAGTTGTTTTGTTTTCCCAGAAAAATAAAATTATGTAAGGTTTTAGTGAGTTTATAGAGAGGATTAGCTTATTGCTCTTTCCATTTAAAAATTCAGAATCTTGATTTTTCTTTCATTGCCTATATTATATTTAAAAGAAACATAATAAAGCGCTCAAAAATGCAGCATAAAACAGGAAGCCTATGTTCCATTACATTTTTTATTGTTTAATATAACTAATAACTGTGTAATTGAAATCATGCAAATACTCACTTGACCTGCCTCTGTGATTCAACACAGAGATTTATAGTTTGACTTAAACTGCTGGGAAGAAGACTTCATTTTGAGGAATAAAATTGATTTTGCACAATCTGCTGATGATCAGCAATGCTTCATGAATGATCGTCTCAAGAAACCTCATTACAGTAATTTAGATGGATGAGCAGGAGTGAAATGCAAAAAGAATAAAGTGTAATTGCTGCTTGAATGCATCACTTATTGATATTTGACTTTAAAACTATCCAGAGCCAGCACGGAGAAAGGATCAGATATCCTTGCCTTACTTTCCTTGAAACCTCCAAGTTAGTTTGATGCCTTTTGGGAAAAAGAAGATAAGTTTTTGATTTCAGTAGTAGTTAGTGTCTGGCAGAACAATGCAGTCATTTCATTCATAGAGGTGTGATTGTGTCCAGTTCATAAATTGTGGGTGATTTCAATCCATTATTGTATGTTTTTTTCTTTTTTTCATGATAGTTCAAAGAAGTCCTTGCCTTGAGGCTGTGAATTGGATGACTGCAGAAGCCTTTTACTTCTGTAGAATCTACTGGTTAGCTCCTTAGGAAAGGGGAGAGTCTTCTGGTCAGCCTGTTCACATCACAAAACTTCTCTGCAGCTGGCACAGTATGGTGTTCATTTAAGAGAGACTCAGGAATGAAGTAGATGGGAAGCAGCAGAAAACCAAAGTGGAATGAAAATGAAAAATACAAAAACCTTGTGATAGGTTGAGGTCAGTTTCTGAACACCTCAATTGTACCATCCATCCTAGCTATATGTTCAGTTTCAGAGCTTGTAGATGTTCTCCAAATACCATTGTCTGTGCTTGCTTTCATTTAGGGTGGTGCAATAGCACCCTGCAGTTCTTTAAAATAATTGAAAATCGGGGGACAGGTAGTTCTAGCTGCCAGTCTCTCCCCCCTATTGCTTGAGTGAATGGCTGTTCTTCTGACAGAACCCAGGCTTTCATTAGGACCTCGGTGGTTTTTCCTCTCCAGGAGGAGATGATTCTGTAGACGTAAATAACAGCTGTGCAAGGGAAGATTAGGTCTGTGTTGGACTATCCCCTCTGTAGTCCATTTCGCATTTTATTTCTTGCTTTAGATTTTTGAAGCAAAACTGTGAAGGTCTTATAAAAAGCAATGGAGGATGGATGCTAAAATGACAAATAGGGTTTTCTCCCCTCTTTTCCAATTTAGGACTTATTAAAATATGAATAATTCAGTGAACTCACATTGCAAAATAGATTATTTTTTTTTTCAGAACCAAAAATAAGGAAATGCGGCCTATGAGTTACAAGTTATTTTATTTTCCTAACCCAAGATGAATACCTTTGATATAGTTGATAGCAGATCTCATATACTAATGCCTGTAATAACTATGGGAGATCTACTCTGGATTTACTGCTTTGACTTGGGTAAAAATTAGGTCCCTTTTCTGGTAAAAAAAGCTGTTAGTCTTGAGAAAGTAGTGGAATATCCAGGGAATTTTCTCTGCAATTTTTTTTAAAGTAATACTGTTTTGATGATGCTTCTCCCAAGACACACATATTGAAGTGCGTACTCGATGGAAATATATAAGTTCAATGAAATACACGTTGAAAGTCTTTAGGGGTAACTTCCTAGTCTCCATACGTCAGGATGCTTCAGGTAACACATATTGAAGTGCGTACTCGATGGAAATATATAAGTTCAATGAAATACACGTTGAAAGTCTTTAGACTCTTCCTAGTCTCCATACGTCAGGAGACTTCAGGTATTAAATGTAAGTTTATATTCTGACAGCATCCAATGCTTGCTTTTTCATGAGGCTGATGTTCAGGATTTTGCAGTCGTAGTTTGGCTAAAACTTTATCGAGTTGAATTCAGCGCTGTGTTTCCCAGCTGACTGCAATGAGTCAAAACCTGGTGTTTATCCAAAGCCTTGTTGCCTTGCTGCTTCCCTACAGCTTAATCAGTAGAGGATGTTAAAATCTGAAGGGAAGTTTCCCAAGTTCTGTAGGAAACAGAGGCTGTGCGGAAGAGTAAGGATTGAGCGAAAGCATTTTGGTAACCCCTGATCTGGATGCCTAATATCAGGCTGATGACCTGGTGGCTGTAGAACATTGCATTCCCTGAGAAGGCTGCCATTCAGCTTGGTTAAGGATACAACTATTCCCCCAAATTGCTTATCAATTTTCTAGCTTCCTAGAGCATTTTAGAGTAAAGGAATCTAAGCTTTACTGCCAACCCTCCTCTGATTTGTTTCTAAGTCATTTAAACTCTTGGTGACTCATTTTTTCATCTGTTACTGGGAATAATATTTGTTTGCTCTTCCTCGTGGGACTAATGTGAAGTTTATTTCATTAGTGTTTATAAAGGACTTGGAGATCCTAGACGACAGATGCCAAAGAAAAACAAAAGATTGTTGTTACCATTTTCTTGATTAAATACATGTTTTTTTTCTTTGACGCTAGCCTTACAAATCACTGCAATCTTTTGTATAATGAAATTTACCTCAAATAATGACTGTAATAACTGAACAGTAATGAGGAATAGAAGGCATTGCTTCCCTCTAAAACCACTGTAATTTGCATAAACCACTCTGAGAGTCTGGTAAATTGTATTCTGCTTGGTCAGTCCACAGAGAGATTAATACTGGTTTGTTTTTTGTAAAACATTAGAAAACTTGAACTTTAGGTCATGTGGGCGTTCATGTGTTTTTGTGTCTTCAGAACATTAGTCTTCTTTACAAGCTGGCAATCCAACAAAATTAGAGTTTTACATTAGAAATCATGCTTTATTTTCCTGCTGGGCTCTGAACAATTCTTATTCGATCTTATTTAACTTTAAAATCAGGTTGGCAGCCTTTCCTTAGTGTAGTTAATTTGAAGTTTTGCTGAAGAATTAAGCTTTCATTCCCAAAAGCCACTTCTTAATGCTGTGGTAAATCAAGAGAAGAAATACGGGAACACATCAAAGTCAAGCACTTAGTGTATAATGCATTCTTGCATATTTATCACACTTATGTGTACAAACTGATCATTTATGTTTTTTAGTTAAGTTGCCACCGTGTGAGACTCTGCCACTTCTGTGTCTCTATGCCCTCACCTGTGTTTTTCTGCTTCTAGTAGTCTGGTCCTATGTGTAATTAATTAATTTAATTAGTAATATTATGAACTATTTAGCATCACACAGCTGTTAAAATGCATTTACACAACTTTTATAAGTGAGGGGCAAAGTTAACTTCAGCATACTTCACCGTGAGCCATTACTTCCCTTAGAGTCTGGTAAAGTGATGAAGATGAGCTGGAAAGCTGTTACTGTGTGACTGAAGAGCAGAGCTTTCAAGTCGAGAAAAGCCTCTATGGCATTCATTTAGCTCTCAGCATTTGTTCCGTTCTCGAGAGTGGTCCTTGCCTTCCCCCGTGGCTGCCCAGTTCCATCATACCCTCCTCGTCCTGTGTGCTGTCTCAGCATACACACACATGTCATCGTGATTTAACATGCCCTCCAAAATCTGCGTGTAGTGACTTTGATGGTACAGTGAGCAGTGCACCTGCAGAATGATGGATTCAGTCCAAGTTTTGAGTGTACAGGTGTTCCAGTTGTTAAATCCAACACGCTAGGGAGTGGTGTCACTGTTTCTGCAAAGAAGGCAGGGGCTGTAAGACTGAACAACTTAAAATGAGGGGGAACGAACACCACCGAGGGAGGTTGGCACTTCTGTGGCCCATATTACCAGCAAAGATAAATTTCAGACATAAATGATAAGAGTCTTTCCCTTTGCACTTAAAATTACTATGTCCACCCGAATTTTGGGGGAAATGGTGTGTGAAGTCCCACTGACAAGATCAGAACTTCACAAGGAGAGAAGAAAAATTTAACATTCTGGTGCTCATCTGTGTGAATTAGGGACTCTTCAGTTAATTAATTTTCTGCCTACAGATACATACAACTTTTCTTTCTATTGCAGAAGCAGCCTGCTAAAGTAGATATACCTGTTTGACTGTCAAGGTGTGGATCATGGGAGAGCAACTGTTAAACAACAGCATCCTTGATCAATTTATTAATAGCCACGAGCAGTCATATGAAGAGTTCCTAAATACATTCACTTATCTTTTAAAAGGTATGTAACTTCCCAAATCTCCCATTAGAAATTGCAGCCAAAAGGGAAGGTAAGAAGAGAAGCAGTAGTATTTAGTATCGTTCTGCTACTCACTTGCTTTGTGACCTTAGGCAGATCCTTGTGATGCTTTTGTTTCTCCTATCAGCAGCGGGATCCCTAAGGACAACTTTCCTTAGCTTGGTTCACAGACTGCTAAGGTAAGTCTCTACAGGTGGTTAACCGTGTTTTGCTCGCTTTAGGGAGGTGGAAGAGCATGCACTATTTGGAAGGATAGACTTTTCCTAAACTTTTGCTAAAGAAGTTTTACCTTGTTTTGCCAGAGAAGTTTCCATAAAAGAAGAGCCTAAGGAAAGTACTTGATAGTATGAGATGGCCTAAGATTAGGGATGTGCAGCCTGGATACTTTCACAGGTATACTAACACTAGCTTGCTGTGCTATGCTGTCATGTGTGCTAAGCTAACAGATAACTTGGATGAAGGCACATCAGGACATCAGATTAGGATGGCTGGGCTGAAAGGGTCTCATACTCTGCAGATGAAGTAACAGGTGGCGCTTAACCTTGGTCTGAGCATTGCTGAATTACAGGCAGTTCAGATCTGGATCCAAATTCTGAAGCTCAAGTTCATTTCTTTTGGCCGTGTTAAGTCAGGTGCCATAAAAATAAATGCGAGCTACATATTACTCAGAATTCTTTTTACCGCAGCTTTGCACTCAAAATGATGTCCTCATACTGTTGCAGAAGCACTGTGTTTTTCAATTACAGCATGTGGCATGCTCCATTGATTGGCACTCAGAAGTCTGTCCTGTCCTTGTCCTTCAGGCAGAACCAAGTGTCAGTCACAGGCACTGAGCAGAAAACCAGTGGGGGAGTCGAAGCTGCCATAGAAATAATCCTGTGGCAACCTTCTGTCTCTCCTCCCAATAAAAAATAGAAGAGAAAGGAGACACTGGGGGATGAGATACGAGGATTGAAAATTAGGTTCTGGTCTTTTTTATGTATAATTGATACACTGGGGATAGCCTCTATCTTAGAAGCATGCTGCATATCATGATGCTACTTGCAAAAAGCCTCAGCATGTATTTCAGTCACTTTCATTGTCACTATAGCATCTGCCACTAAAACTGTATAAAAGGTAGAGTTTTAGCTGAATCAAATGCTTAGAAATGCAGTTTCCTCCGCTGGTATAAACAAAACAGCTCAGCTTGTTTTCCTCCCACCTTCATTTCCCTTTAAAAATACCCACAAGTACTCGTTTACATTATAAACTAAGGGCCTGCAAAAATTCCCTTTAAAGCACAAGGCATTTTAGCATCAGAACAGTGCAAAATACTGTACAAAATATCACATTCTCAGTTTCTTAATTTTGCATTTGAAAAATAGTCATTAGACTTTAATTATTTTTTAAAAAAAGGCAACTGTGATAGCTTAATAAGACTATCTGCTAATAGGCTCCAGAAATTTTCACTTTTATGTATGAGTTCAGATATTTACTGTGGGGATATATTTGTGGTTACTGTCAAGCAAAATCTGACTATTTTCAGATTACCTTTCTGAATTTGGCCTGATAATGATGTTGACCCACACGCTAAATCTTTGTGCAGTGAGCATTAATGTCAGAATTTGTAGTCCTGCTTAATTAGATATGGAGGTATCTATTTGTAGACATAAATAACCGAGCCCATTCAGTTGTGTATGTAAATATATAGGAGCTCTTTAAAAAAAAAATCTTGAAAAAACACCATCTGGTAGATTTTTGACTCTCATTAACATTGGAAACCGAAGACACACGTATAATTGGATCCCACTGATTTCACAGGGTGCCATATTTATATAAGGTGTTTTTCACTTGTGCATGAATTTGTACTAGCTCTCTGGCTGGGATTGCAAGTATATTTTCACCAGGAGTTTCTACATTATTCTTAAAAGCATCTCATAAGAATCTGATTTCCTAACTAATGTTTAATTTCTCTTCATTAGTTAAATTTACACACTGTGAAATTGAAAAGAATATACCTTGAGTACAAAGACCGAAACATCCTTGACTGGCCAATCTAAGAGAACCCTTTGAGGCTATAAATGTCAGCCTGGAGTAACCCCCTGTGAACACATTAGGGTCTTCTGTTGACAGAATAGTTCCATTCTTGTAAATATGGGAAACAGTATTCATGATTTTTTTCATTCCTTATTTTCATTGGCTTTTTAAGGACTGCTAATATCTTAATCAAGAAAATCACACTTTTAGAATGTTATCTTTTTATATCTAAATGTGTGATATTACCTTTGTCTAGTCCTATTCTTCCTTGTGTTACTTGAAAAGATAGTCTCTCTTAGCTCAAGTAGAACAAGATTTTGAGTCAAAATAAGGTCCTTCTAAATTCTGTGTAATTCATTTAGTGATATGTGTATGGTTTACATAGCACACAGATACGTTATAACTTAGTTGGACCATAAAATTATATCTTTGGTATAGAAATTTAATCTTCCTGATTTTAGTATTCCTAAAAAACCCAATGATTCTGTTTTTTAAAGTGTACTTGGTGCTATGACAGAATGAGAGTTCATAGACTAACGGACAAGTAAACTTGCTTACTTCTACCAGATCTGATGCGACATGGGTAAACATACTTCAATGTCATTTTAAAAATCTGAGCTCAGCATTTAAAAGATACATACTCCAACAGAACATGACCTATATATCTTAAATGCATAATATTTAAAAAGTATGGGAGCGCTCCCTCTGTAATTGGAAAATTTTTTAACACTTTTCATTGAATCTCTAATGGATGGAAGCTTGGGGACTAGGTTGAGATTCTAGTAAGTCTCTTAGTTTTCCTACTTAGAGCATCCAAAGTGTGTTTTTTGTCAAGAGGATAATATTAACAAGATGAATAGGTAGGTGCAAGGGCTGGTGAACCCATGGGAATATAGTTTAGTAATTAGAGCACAAGTCCAGAAAGATGAAATTTTTCATGCTCGCTGTAAAGTTTTGCAGGAGTTTTCAGCATCTGGAAGAAAAATGACTGCCTCTTGTGCAAATCCAAAGCACAGATAGCGGTAAGAGGAATAATTTTATTAGTCATTTAGTTTAAGACATTCATTTGTGCTGCTCCTAGAATCACTGAACCCCCTTATGCTTATGCCAAGTTATGTATTTGTTAGTTTGTTCTTTTATCTGTGAGTGTTAGAACAATCTGATAATAAAACAGCTAACTGGCATTTGCTTTGAGGTTGTACAACTCCACTATGTTTCCTAAGTCCAGAGAAAAATCTTAGGAGTGGTTTCTTGACTGTGCAGTTGAAGAAGCCTCAGAAGAGTTGGATTTACAAAGGAGTCGATGACACAGGTTTCTGTAGATGTGGTCAATGAGTGGTCTCTTCAGAACTAAACACTTCCTGGAACAACTCTGGACAAAATCTCACAGAAATAGACCCAGTCCCCACTTTTTAAAAAATTACCACTCAGGGCAAGAGGCTCTTTCAAATCTTAGGAAGAGTGTTTGAAATCTGGTGGAGAGAACTATGATGTCCAAAATTAGAGGGCAGCATCTGCTCATTTTTCTAAACTCAGAGGAGGATTGGGAAATTCACTGGAGAATAAAATATCTCCGTTGGCCTTCTACAAAAAATACAGAAAAAAACCAAAAAAAAAAGGTCCAAGCTTCAAATTTTTCATCTAGATTTTAAATTACTCCTTTCCCACTTCTAAAAATATGGGATCCTGGATCAGTCAGCTGCATAGAAAAATGCTACCATGTATAAAATTCTTATCCAAACCCAACTTTAGATTCATGTTTTTTCCATCATCCTGGTCATTTGACCACTGGAATTAAATTCAGTTC